GGCTCTCGAGCTCAAGTCCACTGTCTTACTCGGGCGAATTTGAGTAAGTTAGATGAATTTTTAATAATAAATATTTTAAAATATAAATATCGAGATTGGGGGCATTGGTTTTTTGGCCCAGAATTGGGGCTCCTAACCCTGTCTAGTTTGGGCAAGTCTCACGCTTTGGACCGGCAAATTTTTAAAGGAAAAAGTTCATATAAGGTGTCAACTTAATAATAAGCACCTCAAAGACCCACCGTAAAAAATCTAGAAAAACCCTCCAATTGGGATGTAGGATATATATATATAAATGATTTTCAGTTATGAAAGTAATGTATATTGGAACACATTATTTGAGCCGTCAATTTTTAAAATTTTCAAGTACCTATAGATTTGTTCGATATACTCTATTATTGGAGCTTTAAATTTCACAATAAGGGCAAAACATATATTTTCAAGCATGAAGGGTTCTAGCACTGAAACTACATTTTCTGACGTAATTTAAAGATGCACGTTTTTAAGATTGGAGTTTATAAAATTTGAATGGTCTAACGGCTAGACCTAAACAAGCTGGGATTAGAGCGAATAAAAGTCACAATACATGCCTTGCGATACTCTAATTGTTGAGACTTTAGAGATTAAAGGCGTTATTAGTAATTAATACATGATCCTACCAAGGTTGTGACAAAAATGCTTTAAACAAACTAGGGTATCCTGGGCTATTTAGAAAAGGGATAAGTATAATATACTTTTTGGGCAGTGGATAGGTCATCCATATGCAGTAGAAATAGAACTCAAAACGTTATATTGTTGTGATATACTACCCTAAACATTTAACTTGTTCCCATTTTTAAGTATAATGCAACTATATAGACTTCACAAAATGCAATATTCGCTATGGTCATCGCCACTCATCAAAATGACGGGTGATGCAATTCCAACGATGGGTGATGCAGAGAGAGTGGGACCTAACAATATGCGATCCGGTTTGCGGGTCTCATTCTTCTCATTGGCCATTCATTGGGAATATGTGATGAACCTTAGAACTTGGATATGGTTTCGTCAGCATTTGAAAACTTGGATGAGGTTCGGACTTAGTCCCTTGCCGAGCCAGCTACTCTGCTATAAACTCGGGAAAATAAAAATTTTACAAAATCATAAAAATAATAATTTTTTTGTAAAATCAATGTAAATTTGTATTTTATATATAATTTTCATGGTTTTAATGGGAGTTTCATTATCATATAGCTCATTTATGTATTTTTTTATTTTTCTAGATTTTCTGAAATGTTTCCAACTATAAATCAATTGTTTTAATCCATGTATACCTTGTTTTCATCTTATTTGGACTTTCAATGTAGTTTATAGTTTATGTTGTTTTTTACTATTTCTTTTTTGTTTCAACACGATTTTTAAATTTTTAGCCCTTTTTAGGCCTGTTCGCTACGTAGACAAGTTCACTTAGACTCGCCCAATAAGTAGGTTCGGACAGGGCCCGAGTTTCTTTGGACATGAACCGGGTTTCAAGCCCTGCGTTTCTTTTGAAGAAT